ATATATATATATATATAGAGAGAGAGAGAGAGAGAGAGAGAGAGAGAGAGAAAGGGGGAACATTCAAAGACTAGAGATACAAAATGAAAACTCCAACCAGGAACTGTGGCACAGGCCTGTAATCCGAGCAACTCAAGAGGCTGAGGCAGGCAGATCACAAGTTCAATACCAGCCTCAGCAAGTTAGCAAGCCCCTTAGCAACTTAGGGAGACCCTGTCTCAAAATAAAAAAAGAAAAAAGAAAAAGAATTGCAGATGTGGCTCAGGGATAAAGTGCTCCTGGGTTTAAACCTTGATACAATAAAATAAAATGAAAACTTTGAGTTCAAAAACACACATGAAGTTTTATTTACTTTGTCAAAATCTTTGCTTCTTCAAACATTTCTAGCAGAAAAGTTTACAAACAATAACACCAGATCCAGGCCAATAAAAAATAGGATCTAAAACTATACTAGGTAATTGCAGCCAGATTAGTGTAAACCAAATAAATGCATTTATTATTGCAATGTAATCCAATATACTAAGAGATGGCATGTACTTTATTTTAATTAGCTGTTTCTTTTAAAGGGTTGCTTGCTCCAACTGTCTTGATAAGAAAAAAATTGTAGTCATTGCTCAAAACGCTTGTAGCAAATCTAGTTTTAAATTGAAGCAATTTATTCCGAAAGTAGTCTACCACTGCAGCAATAATCAATGTGTTTTCCCTTAGCCTATACTGGAGCTTTCCAAGGACTATTGTTAATTGCCTGTAACTAAATGACTGCTGGTGCCCTAAAATGTAACTCTTTGGCACTTGTTCATTTGTTGTGTTTAACCAAATGCCAGTTTCCCTTAGGTTTTGCCTAGTGATTTTACTTTACAATTTTCAATATTCAGTCTCAGTCCCTTAAAGGGGGTAGAGTCTATCATTTTAACAAAATAACACAAAGGCTAAACAGATTTTAAAAGGTCTGCACTTTCTCTTTCCATCCTCAGATGTTGAATAGTGCTGAAATGGAATCTTTTTATTTTTTAAGTGCTGCCACTCCAGGCAACTTGAACTAGAGCTGAAAAACAAATCCCATTTCAAAGGGAAAATGACATTTTCTGGGGCAACACTATTCACATGCACATTGTAATGTAAAGATAAAATGTAGCATTGGGCACAAATAATTTCTCTTAACTGTGACAGAATTTAACCCCAAATAATTTTGTTCTGACCTAAGGATAAATAATAATATTTTGTACTCTTATTAATGAATGTATCCAGCTTGGAGCAGAAGAATGTGGAGACCAAATCTAATGCACCACTTTCCTTGTGAGAGTCAACACTTAACACAAACTGTATAAGTCAATGTTACTAACTTAAATCAAATGGAAAATGTGTTAACCTGCACACATTTATAATATGTGTACATGCATACTATACTCACATAAAAATATGAAATAACTGAGGAGCAGGCACTGTTGTGTGCACTGTGGGAAATGACAGTTTCCTTCCTGACCTTTTTATAAGGATAGTAGATGAATACCTTGTTTCTGAATGGGGTGGGAGTAGGGAATCTGAGATTCTCTCATGATCTCAGATAAGTTAAGTCCTTTTAAATGCTTTTTCTTTGCACCAGTTTTTAGAATTCCTATTATTAGTAAATTACTATCTGTGGCTCAGAAGGGTTATTCTTGCTTATTGCTCATTCTCTAAGTAACACAGGACTGTTTTTGTAATTGCTAAGCTACAGCAACCTTGTTCCCTTATTACATTTCTGGCAATATTATTGATGGGCTAAATAAATAGAATATTTAAGGTAGTAGGTATAATTTTTTTGAATGGCTGATGACAGCTAGCAAAATTGGAATAGCTCATGTATGAGAAATTCTATAAAAATAAGGACTTACATTCATACTTTTTCTCTAATTTATACATATTCAATTTCTAAAAATTAAAAAAAAGTGTGTGGAGACCATTATTATGAACTCCATCTGAAGAAAATGAGAGTTCTGTTTATTGGGTTGTTAGGATTATATTTTGATTGTCTCCAACGCTATTTAACTAGATATGGGCACTTAAGGCATACTTCATACTCAGGCCTCGTTCCACACCTCCAGATGCAAAGGGTATGCTTAGGGGCACTACAGAGGAGTCATTCTCTGCCTAGGCAATTATCTACAGCACAGCAGCTGTTCTGATTTCATTCTTTCTTGTGAGTTTCTCCCCACATAGACTTTGGGTCAGAACTTACAATGAGTTTTTATTTTAAAAATGAAAATACTAAGAATTGAAGTATGATTTTTTAAAAAGAGATAAAATTCATAGATCAGCTCAATGAGTTGTAATAAATGCATAAAATTGTGTATCCACATACAAAAAGGATACAGAATATTTCCTTTACCCAAAAAGTTCCCTCTTACCCCTTTCCAATAAATTTTCCCTTCACTCATCCTCAAACCATTAGATTCTGATTTATATCACCATGGATTATATTGTTATGTTCTTGAACTTGAAGTAAAATCATACAATGGGCATCACTTTGTATCTGGATTCCTTCACCAAACAATTTTGAGAGATTCATGCATGTTGTGCATATCTGTACTTTACTCTGAATATATTTTCTCCCATGGACATATAATAGTTTATGTATCTTCTCCTGCTAGTGGACTTTTGGAATGTTTTTGGTTGTGGCTACAATGACTAAAACTATTCTGATCATTCTTGTACAAGTCTTGCAGAAATTTACTTATATTTCTCTTGGGCTAATTCCATTGAGTGAAATTGATATGCATAGAGTAGATTCATATTTTGCTAGAAACTTACCCCAAATATTCCAATGTAATAATACTATTGTGTATTCTCACTAGCAGTATTTGGGGTGAAATTAAGAGTTCTTGATTATTTTTCTACTTTTATGCAAGTAATTTTAGAGTTTTTAATTGTGTTTAATATAGTAAATTAGAAAACAGAATGAATCTTTTAAAAAAAGCTATAGTGTGGGCTGGGGGTATAACTCAGTGGTAAAGCAGTTGTCTAGCATGCAGGAGGCCCTGGGGTTGATCCCTAGCATTGCAAAGAAAGAAAAAGCCACAGTCTAAATGCTTATCTCTTCCATAATATCCAATGTATTTAAATCAGATTTTTCTGGCATATAAGCCACCCTCTGGGTGTAAGTTCCAGTTTTATATAGGCTTCTGTGTATGGTAGAGTTTAACTCATATCCTAAGAGAGCCAGTTCACTCCACAGTATTATCTACCCACTTACCCTTTCTGTTCACATCACAGGAGGGAAACATCATTTGAAAGAGTGTTTTGTATTTGGTTCCTGGCACCTTTGCAGTAGGATCTTGTGTGTTCTTCACAAGGGTCAACAGATAAAGCTGCTAGAGTTACCTCATTCTTCCACATTTTATATTGATTTACTTAGACTCTTAAAATATTTAATTCCTCACTTTACTGTTTAATTCATAAAGTCCAGCCTTTTAATAAAATACTTTCTTCTAATTCCCATTTAATTTTTCTAAATAGAGAAAAATACACTCAATTAAACAGTAATTATATGCATTTACCTTATTAAACTGTTGAATTAGGAATAAAGGCCAAAATGATAAGAAATATGGCTAATTTTTTTCTGTAATTGTAATAGGAAAAGTGCTATCACATGTAAACACACACATACAATGTTCTTATGAGAATATGATGTGCACACTTTTAAACTAGTTTTCACTGATGTTACTCTAATGTTCCAATCATGATTTCATCCCATTTGTAAGAGCTCAGGAGTGATCTTGTAACCTAAGAATACATGTTAGCATAGATTCAGTTTTCATTCTAAGCTTATGTTGACTATTGTGATGAAATTACAAAACTCATCCAATGGTGGTTTCTCTCAGAATCTAAAATATCATTATTTTAATGCTTTCATTTCCGAAATATTAGTACTTAATGGCATTTAAGGAAACTAGTAGTTTTTGAGGTAATAGTTAGCCTCAGGAAAGAATAGCTACCCCTCAGTAATAATATTTGGAATAGAATGATCAAGGACAACATGCATACACACACTTAGGTAATGTGAGTTTCAACATATGTGTATGGTGACTTACAAGTAATCTTAATTTTGTTATAATGTTCATAAATGCTAAAGGAGAAAAAAAAGAAAATTTTACCCCCTAATTTTTCTGATAAATATTTATGTAATACGCACAATTGATATAGAAGATGTCAAGAAAACCCCCCTTTTTGGATAGATTGTAGTTAACATCCCTGGTATAATGGGAAGCAAAGAAAGAGAAAAATTAAGCTTACCGAAAGGAAAATATTAACAATGTATTTTGCTTTGGTATCCACTAGGGAGCCTACTTCTTAAATACAAGTAAGCATTCAACCTCCAAGATTATGGTCCACCTCCAGGACACCCATCTAGAAAGATGTAGTTGGGAAGTCATTGCTCCTGGCAGAAGTCAGCAAGTAGCATTGATTGGGCAGTCCTCTGGACACTCTATGCAATAGTCCACAGTGCCCTCCAGGCACTGACACCTCACTTTCCTTTGGTTCCAACTCCCAAGTGAGAGAGATCAAGATTCATATTTGGTGAGTGCAGAAACCACCCAGGCTTAAAAGCTTCACATCCACAGGAACCAATATTTCTCTTATCGTCTCCAAAAGCATAGTTTATAGGATCTCCAAAGAGATATGTTTATATATAAAATTCACTGCACTCAGGCAATCCCAATATTATAGTTTTCAATCAGATAGTTATATTGTTCTCAGTCCAAATGCAATCAACCAAACAAGGTTCATTTTTACCATAAGCAATGTTACTTAGCAACACAGTTACCACATACCACCTTATCAAGTTACCAAGGAAACGTAGCTTAAAGTTATGGAGAGGTCAAATTCTCATGCAAAAAAAGGAAAAGATAATGGTAACCCATAACCCACATCAAGTCTCATCCAGAAAAATGTGAAATTAAATTGAATTCATGATTTTCAGATGTGAAAATTGTATCATTCTCTATTGCTATTTTTTCCAGAGCTAATGTACACAGTTGAACTTGCTGGAGGGCTTGGTGCTATTCTCCTGCTGCTTGTTTGTTTGGTGACCATCTATAAGTGTTACAAGATAGAAATCATGCTCTTCTACAGGAATCATTTTGGAGCTGAGGAGCTGGATGGAGGTAAGAAGAGTTTCCCCTTTTATTATTGTTTCTGAATATTTTTATTATTTTTCCCTGCCTTTATTTTATTGAAGAAAAGTTACTTGCAAAATCACTGGCAGCAGGTCTTATAATCTTTCCATGTTCAGTTGTAAGTTCATAATTTGTACTGAAATATGTGTATGATACATTGGAGCCAATAGGTATTTTCCTCTGAAAGTTGTAAAGCAACACCTACCCTTTTTAGAATTGTATTCTAAACAGCACTTACAAATTACAAACACTGATTGCAATGCCATCAGAGTGTTCATTTTCTCTCACCTTGTAATCAGTACTGAAAGGCCAGCTTTACTTTTCTATAGGTAAGGAGTGTCTCTTTTAATTGTGTTCCCTAGCCCAGGAGTTTGAAGTGAATCTTAATTTGTTCCTGTTTAAAATGATCAGTATAATAAACTGTACTGAATCTTTTAGCATTCACCCAGCAGTATTTTCAATCTTGTTTATTTTGCTATATTTAGATAGGCTAATTTTTATTCTAAGTGTGGACCAACAGATAAAAAAGTGCACAAGCACATTGTTTTCATAATAACACATCTAACATTTTTACTCAGTTGAAGAAGTAAATATTGTTTTGTGGAAATCATAATTATTCTTTGCTTTTGGTCAGCCAGGTATATGTGTACATTCTGTTAGAAATATCAAAGTACCACAAGAAATCAAACACATGCTCAAAAGTGGGTAGGCAAGGTGATCTACATTTCTGCCAGAGGGCATACAACCAGAACCAGGCTAGCAAGCAAGCAAGCAAGAGTACCTGGGTGTTGGGCTGGGGATGTGGCTCAAGCGGTAGCGTGCTCGCCTGGCATGCGTGCAGCCCGGGTTCGATCCTCAGCACCACATACAAACAAAGATGTTGTGTCTGCCGAAAACTAAAAAATAAATATTAAAATT